TATAAATCCTAGCCCTACATATAAGTAAATGTTCTAAGTTCTTATTATATTATATATACATTGAACTGTCACCTATAATGTTTGTATATGAATAAATAAATAAATATTAAATACAAATATTTATCATTAAACTTATATTTTTAGTAGGCATTTAAATAAAAAATAATAAAACATAGGTATTTATAATCTGTAATACATTCAAATATCAATTTTTACTGTAAGATTTTCCTAAATTTTGAACATAATTTTTTTTTTTAAATAAATTTTATTGTAAAATATAAAAAGATGTCTTACAATCTTACATATTATTAAAATGATAACAATAAAATATCTACCTCCTTTAAGCGCAATGCTTGTGATGGTGGTAGAGAATTACATTACATAATAAGACACAAATAAAATTACATACTAAAAATAATTCAACCAGATTTCAATAAATAACGTAGAATAACAATAAAATGAAACACAATAACATTTCATTAGCTACATGCTACATTCAAAATCTTTAAACACAATAATACTCCATACTTTAATTTATAACTTGATTCCTTTTTGAGCTATTATTGAAAATATCTATAAGTTAAATCGTTGTTTTATTTTTATGCAAGTAATTCTAAAATTTTCAATTGAGGAGAATATGAGTTTTTTTTATATGTAAAAGCATTGAATTATAATAATTTGGGCCTAGATAATCGATGAATTTTTGACCAAAAAATTTTTTGTAATAAGTTATTTTGACATCATGAGCCCTTTCAATTCCTACACCTTCCAGTGAAGTGGCGAATGATATATTAACTGCAAGTAAATACATATTTTTAGGCCCCCTCCCCCCAAAAATAAATAAATAAAAAGATGTATTAAGCCGCAACATTTTTTCAACATCTTTTGGTATGCCCAAAGTGATCCACATTATTTTGCAATATTGCATTATTAAATATGCATTATTAGAGTTAGCAGGAATAATAGTCCACAAATATAGTAATATACTGGGTACCCCCTCTCAAAATTTGACGAGGGCACTTGTCCGTTTGGAACCTATGTTCGCTACTAGGCCTACTTTGATTATATACATAAACATGACCTTATATTTGTTAGGTATATATTTTACCTATTGTATATATTTTGTACCATACACTTTTATAGTCTGTACTCTGTACCAAATAAGAGTGCACCCGGCGATGTACAAAACTACAAAAATCTGGCGAAATTCGTGCATGGAGTAACGGCAACCAATTACAGAACGAATAGGGAATAGGCTCGACCAAGGGGGTCCGCGCGGGGGTCATTTGGATGCGCCAACACAGTGCGGCTCTTATTTGGTACAGACTATACAATATACATTATTAGTTAAATCGGTTCTGACAATAAAAGAAATACTTTTATTAATTGCAAATTTTCCATCACCGAAGTTCATAAATTTGTCATTAGTTACCATTTTACATTTTTTCTTTTAAATTTTCGCTTAATTTCTACGCAGTCGTGTCGTACCTAATAAAATAAGTTACGGTTATTACTCTTCTCTCACTGAACCTATTTAGGGATTGATCGCTATAAGCCAAAATGGTCCACGGTAATTTGCACGTCGTCGGGGGTCTGCTCAAGGAGACAACTGCGAGATACTTGGAGTACTAGGTAGTTTGGGTGTTTCTACAGCTACAGAGATATCTATGTAATCTCTGTAGACAATCTCATTGCCTTCTCATTGACAACTGGCTGATTTTGTAAGACGTATGCAGACGCTTTAAAAAATGCCAGTATAAATCCTAATTTTAGACCGTGTTGTTTTTTTTTTAGAAAGCATCGTGGTTGGTCTTACGGAAATCCACGATCAGGCTAAATTAACTTATATAATCTGTGCTAGTACTATCGTCTATCAAAACATTTTCAATGATTTTTGTTCATTCTTAAAATCCAATTTTATAGTTTTTTACTTCTTGGTATAATTTAAAAAGATAAAATACAGTTAAAAATAAGATATTACCCAGTTGACATTGGCATTTTAATTTGGTAATAAATTCATTSGATGGTAATGTTTCAACATAACGACAAATTATTTCATTGTCTAAAAAGTAAAAATGTCAATGAACCTGGTATGATTAAAATCTGTTTCATTTTTCGTCAGTGACGCTATGAACTAAGTAAAAATAAGAGCAAAATCACAACAGGTACATACTAAAGGCGCACGCAGTTCGATTAGTATTAAATTAACCGACAATTACAAAATGACTACATGCAACATATTGTATTACACTATTACAGTATCATTATTTTTGGAAATTAATCGAATAATTTTTAATTGAATGGATAAGATTAATACTTATCATAGAGGTAAATAGTCAAGAATATTCAGATAACGACCAACGGGTAATACAGGCTATATTTTATTATACACTAGCTTCAGGCTTGGATGTACTATGCATTTCGTAGGATGCTTGGTTAACATGAACTGATCAGTTATTAAACCTTAAACCCATAGGGCCATAGAGTATTAATATATATTATACATATATACATATATATATATA